ATGATCTCTACAGCCTTACTAAAGTCAAGATATATGACATCTACAGCTTCCTCTTATCCACAAGGCCATTGATCTTGTCCAAGAAGTAAATTAGATTGGTTTGACATGATTTGTTCTTCACAAATCCATGTTGGTTATTTTTTATTGCTTTATTATTCTAGACAATAATTAAAATCACTGTGCTTACAACTGGATTGTTTAATCATTTGTTCTGGTCTCTTTCTACATACTGAAATTAGGCTTGCTTTTCTACAGTTCTCCGAGTCTCCTATTTCCCTTTTTAAAAGTACGCACTATGCTTGTCCTTCACCAGCCTTCTGGGACCTCCCCCATATTCCATGAATTCTTGAAGATAATTTCTATTGGCTCAGAGATTGCTTTAGCTAGTTCCTTAAGCACTTTAGGGTAAATTTTACCAGACCCAGGTGATTTTAATGCATATAACTTAACAAAATATTCTTTAACCTGTATTTTTCCCATCCTGGCCTGTGCTCTACCTCCTTTCTGTTGAAATCAACTGTGTTAAACATCTGGTCACAATTAACATTTTTTGTAAAGGCCAAAGCAAAAAAAGACATTGAATAATCCAGCCTCCTCAGCATCATTTGCTACTTGCTTTGCCTCCCTGGTCAGTATGGAAGCTACAGCTTCCTCCATTTTCTCTCACTTCTAATGTACTGACAAGAATCTTTCCTTTTTCCTTTTTCCCCTCCATGGTCCTTCCTATTTTGGCACCTTTGCCCTTTCTGGTTTTGCCTCCATGTGCTTGCACTGTTCTTTGACTTTTGCTCTTAGCAATGTGTTTCCATTTTTTGTATGATTTCCTTTTAGATGTCCAGGTTTTTAAAGAACTCCTGACTCAGCCTTTTCCTATGCTTCCTGCCTCTCCTGCATGCTGGGTGTTTGCTCTCATGGATTTACTATTGTCTCTTTGAGAAACTCCAGCTTTCCTGAACTGCTTCCTGAGCACTCCTCCTGCCCTGCATAATAGACCATGTCTCCATTTGTTATCTCTGCAGTGCTTTCTATGCTTGGAGGGGAGTCCTATCACTATCACACTACTCTCTTCCCCACTCCAGTGTTGTTCTTACTTCAGTCCCTGAGCCTGGCAGGAAGTTTTTGACTGCGATGGTCCGGCCCAGTGCTGGGAAAGGTGCCTCCATGACACTCCTCATGAGGGGCTGCACCAAAGCAGGGGAAATCTCCCGTCTTTTCTCAACCTCATCCAAGATCTGGAAGAAGAAAACAAAGTCACAAAATGTATAAATTGAAGGGGAGAGGAAGATCAAGAATAAAGTACAATGGCGTTTACATTCTCTCCTTAACTCCTCACAAGAGGAGATTACTGATATGGAGCAACACAGGGCCCTGGAGTAAGCAAGACAAATGAAAGTAGAAACCTGGAGTAAAATCCTGGCTCCAATAAAATCAAACGGCTTCCTCCTTTATTGTGGAATATCTTTGCTCTAGTAGTTTCATTAAAAAGGAGAGGCCAATGTTTACCGGTCCATGTTTTTTATACGTTTTCAATGTCTATGTAACTGGTATGTACCACTCCCCAGACCCTCCCCTTTTCCAATTTACTAGTCCCCATTCTCCGTGCCTTGATTTTGCTTTCAGCTTCTCTTCCATTTATGAAAAAAGTTTCTCTCACCTTGGAGAAGAGGTTGAAGCATCCAAGGCGACTCACAATGCAGTAAACTTCAGGGAGACGCTTCCCTTTCCCACTGGGCTATCAAGAGAGAAACACAAACACACAAAAAAACATGCAAAAAAGAGAGTTGTTACAACCGAGGCAGAGAGCAAGGGACTGCCCTGTCTGTGCCAACAGTTTTTTCAGAGGCTCAGAGTCTGACCATGATCTTGACAGCATGTCACTCAATGGCCAGCTGGGGAAATGAGAACCAGACCCAGAAAACAGAATAAAAAAAACAGGGTGAGAAAAAAGTGAAAAGGGGCTGTGTTTAGACAGTGAGACAGTTTTGAAGGGGACTGCTTAAACTGAGCAGCACAGAGACATCTAAGTCTTTAGAGGTTCTGCCAGCAACACTGGTATCACAGAGGGGCTTCCCTTTTCAGGATGCAGGAGAGAAAAGAATACTGGCTAGTTACCAATAGCCTTCTGCAGTATCCAAACCGCCTGCTGCCATCTTCACCAGTCAAGACAAACGAGAAGGTCTCACTGCAGAAGAGGAAACAGAGACCAGAAATACAAAGAAAAAAAATCTGTCACACTTTTTCACAAATCCTTTCCACCCCGCAGAAAACATCATACTCCCTTCACACCAGTCATACCCTTCTTGTGCTCTCATTCCTATTCCTTTCTGTAATTTCCAGGAGTGTCTCTGGCTGCACAGCTCCAATGGCTAATTGACTAGTATATTCAAGCCCAGTTCTCATGTAAGGACAAGACAGCACCCACCCACCTGGTAAACTGGTAGATGGGTGCCCAGTCCTTAGCATCAGGGAAGCAAAACTGAGGAATGGCCTTCAACTGGTCCTCTGCCTCTCGCATGAATTTGAAGGAGCGCTCAAGCTAGGGGAGAAGAGAAGGACAGAATGTTTTCAATTAGTCACATGGGGATGGAATGGCTTCAAATATTTCTCCTGTGACAAATTAAGAGGTGATGACAGAGACTAAGCTTCTGCCTGGAAGATTAATTAGAGTTGCTGCTATCCTAGCTCACCTGACCTTGGGATTTATTGAAGCAACTTCCCCTCCCCCTCTTCGCCAAACTCTCCATTTGCATTTGTGTATCCCTGGAGTATCTCACCTCCACTCTACAATCTGGCTAAGAGCTCAGTCAGGGAAGGGGGTTATATAGCCAGTGAGACCTATGGAGGGTAAAGGCTGTAGTGAACCTCTGCCACTCCAGTCAGGAAAATGCACAGCCACCCCTGTAATTTTGTCCTGTTTCTCACCTCTTTTGTCCTGTTTTTCACTTGTTTGGAGTGAGACCTAGTGGGAATAATATTGTTTCCCCCAAGATAACAAGCTTCTCTACTCTGTGAATGGTAGCCCTGGGTCTCCTCTAGGAATCCAAACTTCCACCACTTTTCTCAAAGAAAGTTATATAAAAATCATAGAAGAGCAAAAGATCAAAATGGCTGCCCTATCGGCATCTGAGAGCACCATGAAGGTCATTTTGGTCCACAGTAACCTCCAAATCCTTGTGCCTATTAAACAATGGCACAGCAGGGAATTATTCTGTATTACATTCTGGCTAACTTCCCACAAGATGCTCCTGTTTAAACTGGAGGGCAGTCAGGAAGGGGAGAAGGTGCCAGATGGACAGTTGCAGCCTGATGATGGAGGTCTTCCATAGGCACCGCACCTTCAATGGAAATTGCTGCGTGACTTCGGGGATGTAAGCAGCCCCGGCCTGCTTCTTATGCAGTGAGACCACAACAAAGTACTCAAACAACCGCCTCTCTTGGTACTCGATCAAGTCCCGCTCCAAGGTTTGGTATCGGGGGGTTTGCTTCAGGCGAGACTTCACGTGGACCAGGCGCTGGCTGTGAGCTGCAAAGAAAGATGAGGAAAGCCTTTTCATGACCCACGTGACATAACTGGTGATGTTCTCTGGCTGTATGTCTGATATTGTATTTCCACTGATACACTGATTTATATTTCCACACAAAGTACTACATTTATCATGGATACATCAACAATACATCTGAGGTATGAACTTCTTGCTCCTACGATAAAGTACAATGTACTGTAAAACCTTAATGAGTTCAGGGGCAGAGTTAAGGTGGATTTCTTCTTTGAAACAGTGTGTGAGAATATAAATTTTAGATTAAATGTTTAGTCTTAAAAATGTGATTTCTCAGTGTGACAGGGGGCACCTGATGGGGCCGAGTCTCATGCTGACCCGCTCACCTGTCTCTGTGGGGCAATCCACCCAGTCTCTCCTGCCACAACTTTGTTGTTTCCATAAGCTGTTGGTATGATGCGGGAAACTGCCCATTACTGATCCGATGACAGGGGGCACTATCTGTGGCTCCAACCTTCCCCACACCCAAGCCCATGCCTCACAGATGGTATCACAGTTCTTAGAGTCTCCGGCCCCACACTGGGCCCCATGATCCTCCGATCTGGAGCCCAACTGGATCCCTCTTATCAGACAGCCTACTCTGCCCTCATTCTGGGCTGCCTCGCTCCCTGTACTCTTCCCCATCTCGGGTGTGGTCCCCCCCAGGACCTTTGGCCACACAGGCCCTGGCCACACCTCCAAGGCCAGTCGGGGCCCCAGGCCCTTGGCTCTGGGCTTCCCTTGTGGTAGGCCTCTGGCCCTTTTGACCCTTCTGGTCCTGGCCCCAGCATTGACCAGTTGAGGGTGCCTCAAGTCAGGCTTCTTGAGCATCTAGTCCACTCTCTCTCACATGGGTATGCCTTCTCAGCCCTACTATGGGGTTATCCCCCGCCAGTTGTGGGAGCTGGGATTATTAAGGCACCCCAACCCACCTTTCACTGGGATGGTAATTGGTCTGGCATTTCCTGGGGATTCCTGTACCACCAGGAGCCCCACCAGGCTACCCATCCCCAGCAGGGTGCAGTTTTAGGTTATGCCCAGGACCAAGAGCTTTCTAGCCATCCCCATAAGTTCTTGCCCTTACCTGCTGGTTGCTCCTGCTGCAGCTCAGCTAGGCAATGGTTCTGCCTGGGCTGGCAGCAGCAGACTGCAGCCTTTATATACTATGCACTCATTGTGACTAGAGCTTATTTCCTTTCCCAGTGACTGAGCTAGAGGCAAAGACATTTGGAAACTGAAAGGTAAAATTTCAACAACAAATTGTAATGACTAAGGCAAAATGTAACATTAGGAGGCATGTTGCAATGCAGTATAGCCCTGGCCAAAAGCACATGGCAGGAGGACACAGGATGCTCAGACAAGAGCCTGCAGGGTCTAGGTGGAAGAGTGATTTCTTAGACACTTTCACAAGCGGAATCAAATTGAGATCCATTGTGGTGGAGAGGGGTGGGAAAGACATATCCTCCTAGGCCTTATTTATGCATACTTGGATGTGTGACTGACTCCGTTTTGAAGAAAAAATTGGCAGCACTTGGTAGAAGCCCAGTACTAGAGGAGCTTGGGATGCTTCAATCAGGATAGAGGTCTACAGACAAAGCAATGTCAGGGAACCAAGGCTGTAACAGCAGGGTTTGGGCAGGTGGCCAGGAACCAAAAGTGCTGGAAGATGTATGAGTGGGAATGGTTGTCTGGCGCCAGGCCGTGCTATGCCTGAAGCTAATTAGAGTCTCTCAGGGCTCTTCTTCCACAAGAGCCCAATTCACCCAAAGACAGTGGGAGAAGAAAAACTGCCAAACAAACCTGAAACTACCACGCGTGTAAACTGTGGGACAATAAACATTCCAGCAGGGAATGTAATGAAAAGCAACCAGCTGGGGAGAAACGAGGCAAGTGTCCCTCAGAACATTTGTCTGGCTCTGTCTCAACTCAAAATGCCAAAACTTTCCCTCAAAAAAGAAAATGGTAATCAATGACAAGGCAGAGACCGCACCACAGTTCACAGCTACAGGCTCTTTGCTGTTGGGTGGCAGAGGCTTGCCATCCAATTTGGCTGAAAGCAATGAGCCATCTTGCATTGGAACTAGGTGAATGCAAACAAGAGAATTCTGCCTAGAAATTTAGGAGTATGCATAAATAAAGAAGGGCCGCTGATGTCACTGTGTGATACAAGATTGGGACCCGATCCTTGACCTCTCATTTGACCGCTGTGTGCTGTTCACGGAGCATTCTACTTAACACACCTTAGAGCAGCCCTGGGGCTGCTCTTAAGTTATGTCAGGAAGTGCAATAGCTTCAAGTTTTATGCAAGGTATCTTCAAATGACCTTTTATGCCCACAGGCAGACAAGGTTCTTTGGGTGAATCTGATATCTTTTATTAGACCAACTTAAATAGTTGGAAAACAATTATTAAGCAAGTTTTTTGTGCCCACCCATTTATTCCAAATGAGGCCTTTTACTGTCTAACTCTTGGTTTTTCAAAAGCACTCAGCATTGGCTTATCTCTGCTTTTGCTGAAGTCTCTGGGAGTTTTAGCAGGGACATCAATAGGGGCAGACTTAGGCCAATGATTTATGCTGCTGAAAACCCCACCCTGAAACTCAAATTCTCCCTTGACATATACTTAGTGGAAGCCTATTAAAGCTACTAGGACAGCCCTTATGTTCTCATGACAGAATCTGGTTTTAAATTATTCCCCCTCCCACAATGGACACCACCTAATCTAAAGTCTCAGACAAAAGCCACAATATGAAAAACGTCAACCACAATACTGGCCTACTGTCCTAGTAGGTCAAGCCAGTGACACCAGGCTATAACTGAGACATAGCCTCAGAGTTCGGTGGGGTTTGGATCTGGGACTTTGGTTCACCCTTCCATTGCCACACTAACCAGATCCTGAACATGAGAAAGAAGATGATGCTCATCTTTCTGGATCTTTCTGACATTCAGATCTATCTTAAATACATGTCCTGAGCCAAAAAGTAGTAGTAGTAACTGAAGAAAGAGGTGGTGACAAATGGGAAAGAAGGTTCCCAATGTTCCTCTTGTCCAATGCACTGAACTTAAACTTGCTCATGTGCTATTATCGCATTTCTGCAATGTGAAGACATAGTAACAAGAAGCAGTGTATTTCCTATCACTACAATAATGACCAGCATGATAAACTGATAACACAATACTCTTTTTCACTGGCAGAGTTGGCTGCAGTGATAGAGAAATGGTTATGTCCTACAATAGCAGAATTGTTCCCTAATTTTTTGGTAGATGACAGCCAAGGAGGTAGTGTTTGGATCCCAACATGAATTAGGTTTAAGTCCAAGGCCCAATCCAGGATCTAATTCAGGGTCAAACCTAGTTGCAGTGATATCCCACAAACTGTTCTCTATAGATTTTGGCAGGACATAAATTAGAAGACTGGCCTGTAATAAGTTGTCAGATGCTAGAACCCAGTGCAGCCATGCTGCTTCATCACAGCAGCCCAGACAGCTCCTATTATTTCCTGTACAGGAACACCAAAGATCCCAGGAGTCTTTCTGAAGCAAAAGGAAGCAGGTGCAGGGACACATGGGTCCTGCAGGGCAAAAACGTGGTAAGAACCAGACTCAGGAGGAAGCTCTAGCTTGTTCTGAGTTTTCAAAGCAAAGGTCTCCTCCCCACTACAAATGCACTCTGGGAAGCAGGGTAGGAAGCACCATATTCTTGCACTCTAGCCCAGAGGTGGGCAAAATGTGGCCCACTGCCAGATGCGGCCCGCCAGGCCATTCTATCCGGCCCACGGAGCCCCTAAAAATTTGGAAAAGTAATATTCATCTGCCCCTGGCTGCCTGTCATGAGGCCCTTGATGGCTTGCCAAAACTCAGTAAGTCGGTCTCTGCCTGAAACAATTTCCTGCCTCTGCACTAGCCCCTTTGGTTTGGGACCTGACCTGTTACCCAAACAGTTAAGTCATGTTTGTACCCTCAGCCTGGAATACAGAAACCTCAGGCTTGGAAGGAATTTAGATTTCAGATTGCAGTCTTGGCTGAATTCTAATTCCTGGTATAAAATTGAAAGAGGGTTACAGTAGTAGGGAATGGGACTAATAAACACTGGAAAGAATTCAAAGAGATTTCAGACTTATCTTCTGGGAGTTCATACCCCACACAGCTGTCACAGGGCTAAGCAAATAGCATAACAAACCACTCCCAAACCAATTTAACTAACAGGGCACCACAGAATGCACCTCAGTCTCTACATATATTTACCTAGTCTTTCTACTCTGTAAGAACATGCTCCCTGCTGGATTTCCCAAGGACTACGTCCATCTGTTAGCTGCCCTGGCAGCCTTCTTCACACATTTGTGATCTTTCACTTAACAGATCCTCTCCTGAACACACTTGGTGTCTATGCCAACCATGAAAGTCAATTTAAAAGATTCCTAAGGGAGTTGGCATGACTTCTAGATTTGTTTTAGACTCTCATGTTTCCCAGACTATGACCTTCTTCTACAGTTCTCCTGGCCTTTGATATCTCTGTTTTCAGTGTGAAAATCCATATTATCTCAAAATATACCAAAGAAAAGAGGAAAGAGTTAAAACATTAGGTGTGAATTTATCAGTAACCATCTGCCATGGCTACTCTCCCCACTCAATTTCCTTACCTTTCAGTTTCTCTTCAGTGTCACTGTCTGATTCACTGTTTTCATCGGTAACTAAGAGGGGGGAAAAAAGGAAAGTGAAATGAAGAATACCTAAAAATAGTGCACTCTTTACAGAGGGCAAAATAAAATCTGGCTCAAGAGCTTCAGAAGGACGAATTCATAAAACACAAAGGGCCAGATCCTATTCCATCTAAGCGAACTTAGGCACCTAGGGCACATCCCCCTGAGCATGCACATGCAGTTTGCGGTGCCAGAAACCCGTCCGTGGCAATGCAAAACTGTATGCATCCCACATGCATGCATTTGTCACACTGCTAATTACCAGTGCGGCAGTTTTTTTGACATCAGGATATCCCGGTGTCAAAAAAAAATGCCAAAAAAAGGTGGGGGTGTGCACATGGCTGAAGCATGTGCCACCCAAAACTGAAGCCTGGCCACCCAGAGCCAGGCTCTAGCTGCCAGCCAGTCTCCGCACACCCAGACCAGCACCATTACATCCCTGGGAGGCCCCCAGGACCCCAGGTAAAGCTGCTGGGGCCTCTCCTACCCCACTGGGGCAATCTGCCATATGCCAAAGCGTGCATGCAGGGGCATGCCCGGGAACAACTAGCAGCAGCACAAATATGTGCCACTGCTATTTGTCCCTGGGGAAACACACATTCCCGACCAGGGGGATGTGCTCCTAAGTGTAATTCTAGTCCACCCTGCTCCACTCCTGAAAATTCATTACTGCATCTACTTTTGTAACATACTAGCTGCATCTACACAAGACACTGACTGAGCAGTCATTTAGTACTTGTATAAACAAATACTGAATGACTGTGCAGTAACCTGAGTTACTGGACAGTAGCGCTGAGGAATGGCTTTTTTGTGACGCTGACTGTACAGCAGCCTGAGACTACTGAGCAGTAGCATTGAGTCACTCTTTCTGCCAAAAGATGCTACTCTGCAGTAGTCTCGGACTATGCACAGTCAGCATCTTGTGTAGATGCAGCCACTGTCACCTTACCCTTGAGATTAAGTCACAAAAAAACCTGAGGGAAGGAGGAACATTAAGTTTTTTAAATCAGAAAAAGCACCTTTTGCATTACATTTTTCAGGAGCTCAAGCAGGGTGGAAGAGAGTGACAATTAGGCACCTACATCCATGTCTGTTAGGTAGAACAGAATCCAGATCAAAGTGTCTTTCTTCCTGGGGCAAAATTCTACCCTTCACTGCCTAGGCACAAACAAGGGCAAAATCTGATCTAAATTGCCATACAAAAACTCAAGTGACAGGGGAATGTAATTGCTGGACTAAATCAGACCCTCTGGTCCAGTATGCTGTTTTTCATAGTGACCATCATCACCAGATACTTCAGCAAAAAGTGAAAGAAATTCCACAATTGGCCAACATGAGATAATTTGGCCCTCACTGTATTCCCTAAGAGATATTGTTTTAAACCCCAAACATAAGTTATCCTATAAGTAATTATGGGAAATACATAGAGCTGATCAAACACTGAAATGTCTTCTGAGAGAAATTCTAAGGGGAAAAAAGAATCATTTTGTTCCACAACGGAAAGTAGAAAATTTGGAAATTTCTCACAGGAGGGAATTCTAAAAATAGTTGTTTGAAATAAATGTTTCCATCTAAGGAAGTTGTGGAATCTCTTTCATTGGAGGCTTTCAAGAAGTGGCTGGACAGACATCTATGCGGGAAATTTTAGGAATGGTGAATTCTCCGTTTGTGGAAGGTGCGAGGCTAAATGACTCTTAAAGAGCACTTCCAATCCTATGATTCTATAAAACACTTGAACTATTCTCGGCTGAGTTGGGAATGGAGGTTCCCAGTTATGTAGCAAAGAGCTGGAAGACTAAGCAGGTCCTTCAAAAGCTTGGAAGATGTAAGGTGAGTATCAACGTCTGCCTGCACTCCACTGGAATCCTCCCTGACAGTGATATGCTCCCGCTGTTTTTATTTAAACAAATTGGCATTTTTCAAGAGAAAAATGTTTTTCTGGACAAAGCATTAGCAAAGAGGCTATGAAGAACAATAATTGCTTGGCATAGCTAGCCAAACCCAAGCCAAATAGAAATCCTCAAAAGACTCAACAGCAACATGCCTTAGTCAAATGCCTTTTTTACCTTTCCCTGAATTGCTCTCCGTGGACTGGGACAGCCTCTTGACACGTTTCTTTCCCCTCCGTACCTCATAAATGGCATTGATTTTCAACACCAGCTACTCAGCAAACAGGAGACAGAGAATGAGGTTAGTCTCCTTCCCCCAAATAGGAAGAGGAAAGTGACATCTTAATTTGAGTTTTCTAGTCCTGATCAACAGTCACCGCATCACCAGATCTTATTGGTACCATACACACTCTGGCTTCAACTCTCCACTGTTCACAACAAGCATCAGAGAGTTCCCCTGGACTTTTTCCCTTGACCACAGCCCCCAGATTTGTGAGTGACAGTCTAGTAGTGAAGACCTGGCCAAACTCTTCTCAACACTTCCTACAGAAACAGATGGAGGCCTGTTGAGGATTCTGAAAAATGTCTGGGTTAAATAATGATGTAAGGTTCCTGAGATCTTTGTGCAAAAATGCTTTAAATACATGCAGACCTGAGAAAGGGCACCTGATGCCCAAAAGTCTGTCTAACAGGGTTCCCAACTGTACAATTGATCCAATAAAAGATATCACAAAAAAGCCTGTGCCTATTTTAAATACATTATACACAGCAAATGCTGGGGAAAATCAGAACTTATTGAAACCACAAGTAGATAAGCTTTTCAAAATGGTTTCTTAACAGAATCAAGTAGTCAGGATCCAGCTCATCAGCCTCCTCTGTGCTGCAGATAGAGAGCCAACTTGACAGGGCAGATTGGGACTCCCTTGGCACAGGGGCACATTGAAGGGGTGAGAAGCTAGCAAAACTAGTTCTGTGCCACCTGCTCCTAGCAGGTGCTCAGGACAGGGGATGTTCTGCGCATGAGATGGGGCACTGTCAATTCTTGCTGTGATATTTGTCCTATAAAGAGGCTCCCAGAATGTACCATACACCTTTGGCTGATCTAACTTGTGCCATGCCCCCAGTCAGTCCTTAGGTCTCAGCAGTCTTAAAGGTGGCAAGATGCAACTTAGACTCAGATGGATGCAAGGATCCAACCCAGAGAGCGCGTCTACGTGAGGCACTTTATTGCACATTAGACTAATGTGCAGTAAACGTCACCATCTACATGTGCATGGGACTTACTGTGCATTAAATTAATCTAATGTGCCATTTGCTAGTACCATCACATACAGGTACTAGATAAATGGCGCATTAGCTAATGCGCTGTAGCACATGTGTAGATACTGACCAGGAGCAATTTGCTGCAGGGTCAGACCTGAACTGATCTCCATGTGGCTGGGAGACAGCTTCCCCTGTAGCTGGCATAGGTCTCCCAGCCACGTGGGGATTTGGATACTGATCCCCATGTGCTGGGGAAACAGCTGCCCCTGGCACAGTTCTCCCCGCCATGTGGGGATCGGGATCAGTCCTGATCCCCTGGCAGCAGGGAAACAGCTGCCCCTGCAGCTGGCACAGCTCTCCCTGCCTGGCAGAGATCAGGACTAACCCCAGTACCCGCTGCCAGTCCTCAGGGGAGCCTGGAGCTCTCCCTTGCTGCTGCAGCGGGGCAGAGCAAGGCAGGAGCAGCCTTGGACTGGGCTGCTCCCGTCCAGCGTAATTTGCTCCTAATGGAGGTGCACATGTAGACATGAGCCCAGAAGTGCATTAATAAGCCTGAATTTTCTGTGCAGACAATTCAGGCACAAAAACTTCATGTGTAGATGCACCCAGAGAGGTTTTAAAAACTGCTTCTGATTAATAACATGCAAGGCACAATATCAATACAACTGTGCTCTTGATTCTTCTATTTTAAAAAGATATTGAACATCTTGGAAAATATAACACATACAGGGTCTTGGGGGATAGAAGTGGAGAAGTCAAAGGCAGCGAAGGCACTTTATGCTAACAGCTGGCGTTGTTATAACTCGAGAGCGCACGCTAGAGGAGTGACCATAGAGGACAACTACAGGGCAACAGGCAACAATAAGGAGATGCTAGACTTAACTGAGCGTATGGACATATGAACAATTTACTGCAAGGTAAAAAGAAGCAGGGCTTTACAATACACCAGCTGTTCTACAAAAGTGCCTGTGTGCATGGTTTTACCTCAGAGTGAGTGGAAGCCAGACCATCACAGTTTACTCTGTGATTTCATTGAGAACTAAGCTATAGCAATTTAGTTTCCACTTAGCATGGAATAAGGGCCCACACACAGAGGTGACACATGGAAAAGCACCCCAAAGTGCCAAGATGTACAACAGGGATACACAAAACCAGACTTGTAGACATGAGAACAAGTCAGAATACATTAGTACACACAAAACACATGTTCCTCCAAAAGAAGACTGTCAGGTCAAAGAAGTGATTACAGTCTAGTCCTGCCAACATATGCCAGACTCTTGCAAAGAGCAGGAAAGATAATTATGTTTTACAAACATTCAAAAGATATCCCACAGCCAAATAGCCCTTGGACTAACCACTCTTGATGATCAGATAGGAACTCTGAAACATACAACGATGTCATGCTATATAAAATGACAGTCTCCATTAAATGGGAGGTATTGTTGAGGAAAAACCTTTAATGACAAGGAAAGAAAAACTGGACTCTCAAGTTTCCAGTAGGTCTCCTTTGTTCACCCAGGCTTACATCCCACCCAGAACATGTACTGCAAGTAAAGATAACCAGTGACCGAGTGACTGAATGTTAGTTTGCAAAAAATATATATATAAATAGCAGGAAACCCTAATGAACACATGACCTTTGAAAGGCACTGCTGCTCCATATGTTCCTCACTAATGATGTTGGAAAACAAGATATAATGTTTGCAAAAAAATCACTATTTTCCCCCCATTAAAATTCCAATGTTGTAAAAAAAATAAATATCTCATTTTCAGTTATTTTCATTTGCTTTATCCTTCATAGTAACGCAGACTAGTAAAATAGCACTACAGTAAAATATATTCTACAGAGATCTTTGGCCCCTTTTTGAAGAGAAAAAGTGAGAGTGGGATGTAAGGAATGCCCTGTGCTGACTGTGAGAGGTTAAATGAAATCAAGTCAGTCCCAGGAATAAGGGATACATTTTACAAGCACAGCACTGAAACCTGCATTGAAAATTTCTTCCTCTCTCTCAAAAAAAAGACTACCTATGGGAAGCTAAGCAAAGAAATAAACCCTGAAGTTACCTTGGGAATCTTCCTCCTCCTCCTCCCATTCTGAGGATCTCCCAAGGAGAAGATGGTATCATCTGGGCTGCTGGGAGTAGAGGGGGGGCTGATTTTGGAAGGGGACCCAGTTCCATCACGACTCAGTTTCCGTATGTCTCGCAGCTTGAAACTCCGCCGTTCTGAATTTTGTCGAAAGAAAATGGGTTTGGAAAGTAACTGGGGAAGGAGACAGAACGGAAGAGTGAAAATGAATTGATACAGTGCTTCATCTAACCAGGCATTGCAAGAAACCATTGTAAAAGCACCAATTCCACTAAACACTAAGAAAAAGAGCTGGAGCATTTGGCTAGCAGACTGGCAAGTGTAGCTTATGGCTGGCAATTTCTTGCATGTCCAAGGAGTTTTCCCGACTGTCACAGTTTACACAGGACTATCCTCACAGACAATTAGAGTCCCAGATTTATTTCAGGTCATGACACAACTCAGGGATTGGCTAAAAGGCCTCAGTTTGGGGAGCAAACAATTCCCCAGCTATATGTAATCCACAGATTGGGATCACACAAGAAAAATGCTAACCAGCCAATCAAACACAAACATCTGGGTTAACATTTGCCCTATAGGAACCTAGGAAACTGCCATTCCAGACCAGAACTGTGATCCATCTCATTTACAGCCCAGTTTTGTACAGAGGTGGGAACAAAATATTGCAGATAAAGATGCAAGAAACCCCACAGCGGACAGTTATGGAAACCAGTTCTTTTGTAACTCCATCAGTTATTAGTTGTCCAAGTCCAATGGCAGCACAAAAGGCTAGCACATACAATATCAACATCCAGGTCCTAAATTCCCCACCCATAGGGGTAGAGAGCAGTACAGAAGAAGAGTGGCATTCACTAAGGGAGGCAGGAAAGGGGGAGCCTTTCACATCCTAGAAAGAGCAACTCTAACTGGATAGTGGTTGAAGAAGCTATTTCAACTGGATATAGGATCACTGTGACTAGAGACTTTGAAAGGTAGCAGAGAGAGAGAAGAATCAAAAGACGGAAAATACAGAGGGAGGCCTGCCTTGTTCCCACTAAGAGAATCTCCACTTGCTGTAAACCTTTCCTTCATCCATATCACAGTGTGGGACCAAGAATCAATGGTGTAATGGCGCAGCTTACCTTGGCCTCATTATCAGAGTTGGCCAGTGCCTCTGTTTCCCAATCTGGTATGTCACGGGTAAAGTTGGGCCCTTACAAAGCTCAAAGCTCACTCTGGTAACAGCAGGATTTTCAGAAGCTCTCAGCACTGATGCCATCCAGTTCCTATGCCAGTCAGTAGGAGTTTTACCATTACTTGCAATGACAGCAGTGTTAGGCTTGTGCTGAGTCCTTTTGAAAATTGCCAGGCTCTGTTTATACAATGAGCTAATGGGAAGTTAATTAGAAGGCATTACAAAGCAGTACCTCTGGGTGATTCTGGCTACATGGGCTTTTCTCAGCAATGGCTCTGTAAGGCTATTGTCTTTTCTTTCTTTGTACTACAACAGCTCCCAACTAGCCCCAACAAGATCACTGCCTGCAGGCATAATGCACTGTTGTGTTGAGTAGCCCAAGCTAGGTCTGGGTTATCTCAGACACTAGAAGCAGCACAGCTGCAGTGGCATGATGCTCTGCCTGGACTAACGTACCCTGTTTCTCAGCAAGGCAACTTAGAGCTAGCTTGGGTATCGCTACATGGTGCTGCCTTGTGGTGTACAGACCACAGACCCGATGGCCATGCCCATCTCCATCTCCTATCCTGAAGAGCTTGTTCTTCTCCCATCTCCCCAAAATGTAAGGGGGGTTAAAGAAGTAGGAGTAAAAATGAGCCCTAAGTTTTGAATTAGAACTTGCTAGACCTTAAATGCTGGAGGCTGCAAATGAGAAAAGAACAGTGGAAAAAAACCCTTCACGCACAGTTCACTCTCCCTTTCACTGTCCACTCCCTCCCTGCCTCTGTGTGACAATGGACACTGGGCAAGATGGTCTGACCCAGTAAATGGCAATTCATATGTTCACAGTTGAAAGAAGGTGATGAAGCTTTTCTTTCTGAAGCCTGGATTCCTCTGCATTTCTCCAGCAATCTAGTGATTCAAGGCTCTTTCTGAGAAGTCTTCAGGATGACAAGCCCCATATAGACTTTCTCAGTGAGTTCTGGGGTTTACCAGAGATCAGACCAAGTTCACACTACAGCTGTGCCTACTCTGACTCCCAGGAAAGGGATTAGCAGTGTTCCAGCATATTTTTCCTGACCCAGGCTAGTGATGATTTTGGTTGTTGTTTGCTTATGGACTCAGCATGGGTCTACACAATTATGATGTTACTTCAGCCCCTTGGTAACTGCTTTGATGGGAACTCTATGAAGGGTGAAGTTCATCCTATGCAGTCCAAAGCCCTCGGCCCTCAGTAAAAGGGGGTAAGCTACCTCATAATCAGAGCAGGGTGACAGAGTGCCCAGAACCAGTTACCACAGAGTAGGTGATCTGCTGCAAGTTACCTTAGCTTGCTTTTCAGTCACTTGTTCATGTATGTGGCTGTGCTCCCAGTCCCACATTAAGAGTTTGAGTGGAACATAACTGGTGCACAGGACCCGGCATGGGCGTCTGCACAGAGATGCACCGCACCCTAAGTAGTTATGGTGGATTAGTTAGATACAGATCTATGTTAAAGGTCTATGTTAGCCTATAGATGGAGGAGTCCCTAATTTAGCAAGGGAGGTTTAGTAAGGAAGGAATGTTCTCCTTCTAGGAGAATCAGAAGGAATAGATGTAGCAGCTGTTACTATTAACCAGCCTTTTCAAGAGAAATGCAGAAGGACCTTCCTACTGGAGGTGATGGCAGCTGAATCTTTCCAACATTCCCAGCGCCTGCATAAAGGGTTACAGGCTGGCTATGGACAGTAAGCCAATCAAATGACTAGGCCATGACTAGAGATTACTGGAGCATTTCAGTGTCACTTTAAAGGTGGATGGTGGGGCTTGCATTACATAGTAGTAAATGACAGCCTTAATTTAGCACCAGCAAAAGCATAAGCGACGTGTAGGGGGGACACCCTGACAGGGCCATCCCCGCCGCCGACACCGCCAGCGGCATCTGCAGATGCTCACCAGCTCCAGCCTCGCTGCTGACGCCGCCAATGCTGCAAGTGGCATCTGCAGATACCCACCAGCTGCCGATGGCATCTGCAGGAGCTCGCCAACTCTGCCCCCGCTGCCGACACCGCAGGCGGTGTCTGCAGATGCTTGCCAGCTCCAGCCCCGCCACCAATGCCGCCGGTGGCATCTGCAGGTGCCCCCCCAGACATAGGAGGCACCAGTCACCCGGGAGCAAATGTGTTGGAACACTGGCCCAAGCAAATCACAAAGCAGCCCAGAACTCTTCATAGCTCTGCCAGTGCTCTTCAGCCTAAATGGCAGCACCGCTCTATACTTCTGAAATGAGAAGTATAAACAGAGACTGCCAGCCACTGGAGATTCACCATACACCTGTGCCCAAATCAGAACCCCAATTACAACCATCCCTAAACTGGGGGGAAGTGCGGAATTTCATTTCTGGATCCCTCTCTCATAGTTTGGTCCTTGTTTGACCACTGTAAGAACTAGGATCAAACCATAACTCATTTTTACTTGGAACATAGTGGGGGCATCTACACATGCACTTTACTACAGTTGATTAATTAGGTCCACAATAAAGTGTCACTGTCTACACATGCAGTGCTATTAGGCTGCAATAAAGTAATTAACTCTGCTGTCAGATAGTACTGCCCAACACAAGTACTATCATACGGCAGAGTTATTTAACGCACCACAATGCAAGTGTTGATGGTGACCAGGGCTGGCTGGGGAACGAGGGTGCTACAGTGTAGGGGCTGTCTGCTGGCACCCTCATGCCCCAGCCAGCTCCTCTGCAGCATGCTGAGACAATGCAGTGCAGCTCTGGCTGGCAGGCTGGCCCCCTGGATCCCCTGCCAACCAGGGTTGCACCACCCCGGCTCAGCATGCTGCAGTCCCAGACGCATGTGCAAATGCTGTGCCAGGGAGCAATAAACTCTGGCGAAAACTGCCCCAGACTTTATTCAGACACACTCATTGCACATGCAGATGTACCCACTAAGAGTTTGAGCCCAGTTTTCCAGAGAAGGAAGACCAACATATTATCCCAGTGCACTGTCACAGCCTTCCTCATCTCAGTGCATGAGCAAGTTTCCATCTTGGTCAAGATCCAATAGCTGCTCTTCATTTTGTAATCTGTTTTGTAATCTGTTATGCATACCCCTGTTCTCCTCCAAATGGCATGCATGGAAGGGGCTTTGCTGGGAACACAAAGTGATATATGAAAAAGATCAAAACAGGATGCTGTCTAACATGACCCCTGGTGACGGGACACTTCTGTTCTTGTGATGCAGCACCAAAGTGGTACATGTCGTCCTAGCTCCCACTATTAAGTGAATTCTGGATGCATGAGACCTACATGCTGCTCAGGTGTTAGCCCCATTGTGAGAAGAGTGAAATCAGCATTATACCAAAAGGTGGACTCAGGAAATCCTGTGCTCATGGGCCTCAGCTCCCCATATTCTGCCTCTATCTCAGTAGCTAAGATATGAAGTAGGAAATCCTGCCCAGTTAAACTTGATGGCAAGACACCATTGACCTCAGTGGCAGTCAGGATTTAACGCAAATCCTTTTGGGAACTGGATATTTGAGTCATGCTGGCTGTACAAGATACCTTGGTGGGGGTTCCAGGAACTGATGAGGTGGGGGATGCTGGAAAGGTCAGGACACATTTCTTTCCTAGACAGCGGCTATTAGTCTCAATGTCTTCATAGGGGTTTTCCTTCGAAGGCGGATCTGCAGCAACAAATCACAAGTGCTAAGTAAGAAACACAAAAAATCCTTGAAGTTGGCCATAAAATCTCTACTGGGATCCTCTGGCCTTTCCTTAGTCTGCTATAAAGACTTGCTCTCAAACATTCTTGCGCTCACTTCCCTCTCTCCAGCTCAGGGAATCCAGCTGGTTACTGGATCATTTCCAAACTCTGACACAGTTATCTATAACTGCAGAATCAGGCCACAGGGATTAGAGAGGGAAAAGACCCATTACACCCTCAAATTCAGCCCTATGCTGTTGGAGACAAGTTTTACTTGCCCCACGTGCCTCTGGTTCTGGGAGACACCATAAAAGGTTGGACCAGAAAGGGCTACAGCAAGAGCACATACTCATGGAGCAGCCACTTCTAGATCTGGCTCTGCAGGTGGCACATGGTGTAGTTCTACCTGGCCACAGCAACAATGGCAGTGGGGTGAATGTAATATAATTATAAAGATCCAATTGATTAATAACATATGAATTAATACAATTAGTGTTTATACTACAATGTTAGTAATATATTTATATTAGTTTTTTACATGGGGTGCTGCTAAATTTTGAAAAGTTTTGGATGAGTGCCTTGAGTCTAAAAAGATGGAGAATCACTGGACTAGGCAATGCCTAATCCCTGGCCTGGTGGTTAGAGCACTTTGCCATGAAGCAGGAGATAGAGACCTGGTTGAGGAGGTCTAAACCAAGATCTCCTGTTCCCTGGCCAAGAGCTGCTGGCCTCAGGAGGCAGGAACTGCAGATTTATTTTTGGACCCATACATCTGTGTTCCCTGTCTGCTCTATGTAGCAACCTATTGTACCAGAGTCCAACGTGCGGAGGGAAAGCAGCTGAAGTCATCATACAAGAACACAACAGAAAAGACTGCTCTTGCCTCAGTCTTTGTTACTATGATTTTGTGTCTGACTCACTCCTAAAGCTGCTTGCAGACGTTGGAAAAGAAAAACAAAATGCTCCTGCGCCAAGCCCAGTGCATGCCCAGAAGAGGCAGTGCAATCTGGCTTTGCAGCAAACTGATAGATTGGGGATTTTGGTGGGGATTTTTGGCGCTTTTGTCCTATAGCTGATTGAATCAGCTATTAGATAAAGGTGTCAAAAAGTCCTGCTGAAGTTTTAGCTGAAGTATCAAAAAGGCCCACTGAAGGGCCTGATCTATACAGATGCTGCAAAGCTGGGTTGAACTAATGCACTGCTTCTTCCAGTAAAGCACAGTTTTTGGGAGGTTTTTTACACATCTGCAAGCAGCTCTACTAGTGTCTGAATTCACCAACCTGAGGGAGGTAGAAATTCTCCTGATTGTGGTAGTAGCAAAGAAAGCCATGGGTGAACATGCTGGAGAGACACCCATTTCTATCCCTGAACTACAGACCTTGTTTTGGAGGTGGGTTTTCAATGAAGAGAAGTTAGTTCAATAGTACATCTCTGAACAGCATTGAAAACACTTGAATTAGTCCTTGAGACAAGTGGCAGTGCAGGTCTCCTTTTGCCACCAATGTGGTTTTCAGTGTTCGGCACCATGTCTGGGATATACAGTTTTACCCACCACAACCTGTAAACCCTTCCTCCTGACTGTTCTATGCTGAATTTCAGGACTCCCAGTAAACAGTGCTGGATGGAATACAAGAATAGTGGGATGGAAAACTAAGTGACATGTAGACAGTTCTAGTACTAAGAGCAATAAAATGTGTGCATGAGCATGTGAGTGTGTGCATATGTGTGTGTTTGGGTTCACCTTCTTTGGGTTACTGCTAGCATTCTGTGGTAGCAGGAAGGGCTGAACTATTAAAAACTACCCCTCCTTCCTAGCCTTGTCTACTGGTGATGTTTTCTAATTGTTGTTGTTTATCCTTGGTGAAGTCTCCCAGCTTGTGGTTTGGTGAAATATAAAATTGTAGCTTTGTTGCAGACATCCCTATCAGCTCTTTCCTCCTCTACACAGCATGAAAACAGCCCCAGGGCTGCAGGGGTCAATTAAAGATCATTAGCTCCAGACAGAGCTGGGCAGAGCCTAAGTGCACAGAAAAGAAACAAAACCCCAAGTGTGTCCCATTTGCTATTATCAATAACCCACTTCCTTCTAACCTTTCCAATCCAAAGCTTTCAGGGGTAGGAATTTCAGCATGGTGTTTGAGTTCTTTGCAAGTGTGGGGAGAGGGGCATAGTCTTACATGAATGGATAGATTTGCCAGTACGTTAGCCCTGTAATGCTACCCTTGTTATTCCAGCTGGCAGGGTGACCCTTCTATCGTGGTTCTGAACGGTAGAAAAATCAGCAGCTGCTAAGGCATTCTGTATCCCTTTGGCCCCAAAACCAGCAGGGGAAAGAAGGCAAATGTGGGCCCCCTAACTTGTGCCAAAGTCAGACAGTTTTAAAAATGTACATCAAACACTGTCCTCTTCTTACCTATGACAGCCCTGAACATTGCCTCTTGGGATTCAGTCTAATGTTCTTCGTGAGACCTCACTAACCAGCCAGAGTCTGGATCCAAACAGAAGTATCCTGCTTTTTCCCGAGAACCTGTGGTTAACACCCACCCCCACCATCTGAACCAACCTTTTTGGATATAGCAGCACCTGTTCCCTTCCTATCCCAGTGTGAAGAAGTTCACTTAACGTCTTTCCTTGCAGAATAAAATTCAAAAGTTGGGTCCCAAAAATCCTCTGGCTAATTTTTGAGGCATTAGGTTTTATTCCATTTTGCTTCCTCCTTGCCAGTGCACCCATAGCAAATAAATATACTTTCTTCAGACACCCCAAAGAGTGTGACATGTACTTATTGTTGTCCACAAACCTTTCTAGTTTTCCAGCCCCACCCCGCAAAAGGTCCTACCTAGAATATCTTCATAGACATTTTCCTCTGATAAAGTGCGTGTGAGGGCCAGCTTGGTCTGAGCGTACCAATCCACCCGGCCATTCTCGGAGGACGACTGTAGCAAGTCTTCAAATTCATAAGACTTCCTGTGCCATTGTGGGGAGAAGGAAACAGAATTGTGATATAAACAAACAGCTTCTAGAAGCCCATTAAATCAATTTCATTGGCTAATCTCCAGCATGTCATGTAGCCAGCAGAATGAAGAGCCTGCTTTACAGACCCCCCCTTTAGCATGTGAAGCAATGAGGACACAGTGAGAGCTGTTTTTCATGAGAGTGACAGTAGTCAGCAAATGATAGGACTGCAATGGATTATTCATCTTGTAATGGGTATGACACAGGTGCAAGACACTATGCGGGACCTTGTGAAATAAGAAGTAGTACCTTACTGAACTAGCAGTCCTATTCATCTCAGGCCCTACTGACTATGTGGAAAAGTATGCCTCTTAGGAACAGTGTAGGACAGCAATAATCACACACTGAACCACAAAGGGAACACGAAAGAAAAATAATGGAGTGTCCTCTCCAATCAAGCATGGAAAGGTTTCATCTCCTTCCCTCTTCCAGTCCAAATGAAGTCAGGGATTTTTATTTTTAAAATAGATCCTTTACTGAGGGTGGAATCAAAGGAGGCAGGAGATCCCCCACTTACAAAATATTTGTAGTTACAGCTAAGGAGAAAATTCTCCAGCAAGGATTGAGCAAAAAGGAACAGACCTCATTTGAAAGGGCAGTTGAATTCTGAAGAGTCACTCTGTGAAAATGGCATGGTCAATTGTCTCATGTTCAATCGTCTCTCAAGGACTCCTGATCAGCATTGCTCAGTTTGCAAGTGAACAGACTGCCAGATTGAAAAAAAGGTGTGACTGTACACTGCATATCACCAGAAATTCACCCTGGGATCAGAAAGTCAAGTTAGAATCATTTGTTCTTGCACACTATCACTAGTGATGGGATCTCCAAGCCAAAGTCTGGCCTCACTTGCCCCAGTGAATTACTTTTGGCCTTCAGCAGGCTTGCAGAGGTGTGACTGAGAGCACAAGATGGCTGGCAATGGTGCCTTAGTTCACTTTCAGTTCCCAGGGTAAATGTAGGAAGCTGTGAGAAAGCCAGCTTTTTATTTTATGAACAAAGTCAAGACATGGACCCTGATGAGATGTCATTTCTGTGGAACCCTCTTTCAGTAGAACAGTACCTCAAAGGCAAATTAATGAAGAGCTCCAACCCCAGCATTAGTGAAATAACAAATACCTGTGGTCAGCATTGTTCTTATGTTTCCCATTCCACAGTCTTCTGCTGACAGCTGAAGGAGGAGGAGAAGAGGGAAGAGGAGGGGGAGGTATGGATGGCAGAGGGGGCAAGTTTCTCTTATTTCTAGCTCCTGGAGTCCAGCCCTCTTCCCCCTCATGTTTAAAAGTCCGTCGGGGCTTTGGCAAGGGGTTGATGAAGGGTTTCTTCTCTGGTGCTCCCGGCTCTGTGTATACATTCTCCACATTGTGGTCTTTGCATTTCACTTTAGATGGTTTTACCTCTTCTAGAGTACCAAAAATTGGCTCACTGCCTTCCGAATCCAAGCTGAGAAGCCCCTTATTGAGTTCAGAGCCACATATGCCCTCCTGGCCCTCTGAAGGAGTCTGTCCCTCAAATACCTTCTCTGGCAGACAGTGTGGGGAATAGTAGGTACCTGGTAACTGAGGCTGCAGCTCTGCTGACCCTTCCTTCAAGGCCTGCTCCAACTTCTTCACCTGATTCAGTACTGAAAGGTTCTCTTTCTGGACCTCCCACTTACCACCTTTCACCTCCTTGCATTTTCCAACACTGGCATCAACTTCCTCTTCCTTCTCCTTCAGTTCTACCTTCCTCTCCACTCCTTGTCCTGTACCCTTTGGAGTGCCCACTCTCCTTTCATTCTCTTTTGCCATCCCTTTGCATTCCAGTTCCCAGTTTACAAGCCTCTTGGTGTCTACTTTCCAATTCACCAAAACTTCCCCACTCATCTTTTCCACCACACATGATGTCTTCTGCTCCTCTTTCACTCCTGGCTCATCTTCCTTCCATGCAACCACAGGAGAGGGTGTTTCTTTTTTCCCTTCCCATTCAGAAATCTTGTCCTTGATGCTGAAGGACTTATTCCTGAAACCAACTTTTCCAGATGACCATGAGTTCTGAGTGCCTCTGATTTGTTTCCTTAGGATTTTGCTGTTTTCTTTGACACTGAGATCCACAGATGGGTCACTGATGATCATTTTGGGACTCAGCATATTCTGCTGAAAGCAGTCTAGCTTTGGATTCAGGATCAAGTTCTCCAGTGCTGTCAATGGGTTTTTCAGCACAGAAGAAACTTTTTCAGCTTTAGGTTCCAGATGCAGAGTGATGTTGGCTCCTTCAGAAGAGTCTTTATTGGCACACCTGAATGAAAGTCTTTCTAATTCTTCCCCAGCAATTTTATTGTTTTCCCTTGATACCTTGATCCTACACAGAAAAGACAAAAAAGAAGCATTACTTTCTGTTGGTCATTGGTTCATCAGCTCTATACACTCTGCCCAGAAAGGTGAGGTCAGATGGGATGCTTGGGCTGATTGCTGACAGTCTTGCTGCAAGGCTTTCTCTGGGGATTGTCCTTGTCTCCTCTACTTTCCTCCTGAAACAAAGCCCACGTTCGGCACAAAATCTACCTATTGCCCTATACTTTCTCTAATGGTGGAGATGATTGCAGGTGTGTGAATTTATAGTTTTGGATTACGTGTATTGATTTCGACAGTACATCAAATTTGCATGTATGTCTGTATTTTTAAATGACTAGTAGAATTTCTATGTACTTAGAACATTAGAGAGGTATACTGACAGATAAACCAAATGGATAGTAGCTTACTAGACCACAGGTAGCCAACCTGTTGTACAGGTGCCTTAAATGGCATGGGCAGACGGTAAGCGGCGTATGGCAGATTGGGGAGGGGACAGGCAGCACAATGGTAGGTAAGGCAGGGAGCATAAAGCAGGGCACCAGACAAACCAGGAAGCACAGGGCAGAAAGCAAAGCAACAAATCAGGGAGCACAGGGCAGGGTGCAGAAAGCAGAGCAGCAGATTGGGCAAGGGAAAGGGATTGGAGTGGCACTCAGGGAAGGTGTGACACTAATTTGTGGCAGTCCTGCCAAAAAGGTTGGCCTCCACTGTATTAGACTGTAGCTACCAAAGAGATGAGTAGATTAGAAGGCTAACAGCATACTGGGCTGCATTAGTAGGAGCATTACCAGCAGACTGAGGGAAGTAATTACTCTGCTCTATTCTGCACTGGTGAGGTCACATCTGGAGGACTGTGTCTAATTTTGGGCTCCCTGCTATAGAAAGGATGTGGACAATTTGGAGAGAGTCCAGCGACAAGCAACGAAAATGGTTAGGGGGCTGGGGCACATAACTTCCGAGGAGACACTGAGGGAACTGGGCTTATTTAGTCTGCAGAAGAGAAGACTGAGAGGGGATTTAATAGCAGTCTTCAACTACCTGGAGGGGGGTTCCAAACAGGATGGAGCTGGACTACTTTCAGTGGCAACAGATGACAGAACAAGAAGCAACGGTCTCAAGTTGCAGCAAGAGAGGTTTAGGTTGGATATTAGGAAAAGCTCTCTCACTAGGAGGGTGGTGAAGCTCTGGAACAGGTTACCCGGAGAGGTGGTGGAATCTCTGTCCTTGGAGGTTTTTAAGGCCCAGCTAGAGAGAGCCCTGGCTGGAATGATCTAGTTAGGGGTGGTCCTGCTTTGAGCAGGGGGTTGGACTAGATGACCTCCTGAGGTCCCTCCCAACCCTCACTTTCTATGATCCTGTGATTAGGGATGTTGACAACATTACCCTAGACTCTACTCAGCACTTCTAAGTAGCCTAACAAGGCCACTGGCTGAAAACTTAAGTCAGCAATCTTCAAACTGGAAGTAAAAGTGAGAAATTAGCCACTGGAACAGATTAAGGACCGTGATAAATACTCCATCATTTGGAGTCTGTACATCAGGACTGGATGTTGTTTCAAAAGATGGGCCCTAATCCAACTCAATACAACAATTGTTGGGTGAAATGTTATGGCTTCTACCAGGTTGTCAGTCCACACAATCACACGGGTGGTCAGTCCACATGATCACAAGGATCTCTTCTGACTTTGAGATGTAGGAAATAGAAGGAAGAACCTAGAGTGACACCTTTCTCAACAGTGTTACTCTCTCAGGCCTTTTCCAAATGTATATTAGTATAATAATATTACACCTTTATGTTTGGTAATTATTCCTAAAGCAATAAACATTGAGGGGCTTCCAAAGAGTCCATACTAGACACTACAAATTAACACAGAGACAGCCCCTGCCCCACAAAGCACACAACCTAGGACTTAGACAATTGGAACAACATTGCCATAGCAAGGGATAGAACTACTTAATTACAGGTACTCCTTACTTAACGACCTACCTGTTTAACGACCGCGCGGACTTACGAAACAGCAGCGCGGCGTCTCAAGCCAAGGCACACAGTATCAAGGGCCGGCTCCTCGCTTATCAACCAATTCGCTTGATGACCTAGTCGCAGGAACGGAACTCGGTTGTTAAGTGAGGAGTGCCTGTACTATTAATTAATTATTTGAGACAGCAGCAATGCAAATACATTCATTTTAGATTCACTGGTACAAAAGGACATGAACAGACCACCCCTAAGTTTCATGCTGGTGCAGTGGTTGTGTAGGCAAGCCTGATAGCCACTGTGTATCCAGCTGTAGCTCACACCCAGCCTGGGAATGTAGAATCTCTGGGTGTTTTTACATGCGCTCTGGGGTGGGGTGGGGTGGGGTGGGGTGAGTCTAATGAGCTTTAGTTAAAGCATCCCTGCCACCATTTTGAAGCCTGGGGACACTGATACATGAGATGTGGAGGCTGCTAGAGCACACTAACTGGCATACTCCAGCAGTCTTGATTAATTGAGTCTGCTCTGACACACTGTAATTACAGCACGTCAGAGCAACCTCCCCACATGACTACAGGCACCCTCTTTTACTAAAGGGAAGGGTGATACTGGCCAGGTTCACTGTTCCCAAGTCTCAGGGGCCCTTACATTCTGCCTGTTTTGGTACAAGGGAGCTCAGTGTAATGGCTGAAGCAAACTATGCCTCTAACTGTGTGGACCCTCCCAGTGTAGTACAGCATGGTGGTATTCTCAGTGGTTAAAAGGCTTATATCCAAATGTGGCGCTTAAATACACAACCTGCGGGTCTACAGGCAGAGTGTGACAAGCTGGGAAGTACTGATGCTGGATGCAAGTTTTAGGGCAGTGGTTTTCAAATTTCTGTGGTTACATACCCCTTTATCTGCACCTGCAAAATGTTGCTGCTTGTACCCCCAACACCCAATGCATCTCTGAATAGAAAAGTGTTGGTGCCAACACCAATTCATGGCAACACCATTACTTACTGCACCTTGCCGAATCAGTAGCTCTGCTGCCATTAACATTTAGGCATGTATTACACCTTGGCAAGGCATTGCATAACCCATTAGATGTGTATGTGTACCCCAGTTTGAAATTCTGTGTGTTCGTATGTGACAGAAAGTAGGCCAATGAAAAGTCATGATACACTCTTCTCCTCATGGGGAAAAATAAAAAGAGGAACGTAGGACATTTCACCTCTCAAGAGATCGGCAGACACTGTTTTCAGATTTGCTGCTCACGTCGCCTGCCTCACTAGCTGTCATCATGTCAGCACCTGGCATGGTGATGGTTCACCTGCGGAGGTCAAAGCAACACACAAATAATTAGAGGTATCATTGCATGTTTGAATATAGGAAAGCTCTCATTTCCCTCCCCCATTCAACACACCTGCAAAACCTGCCCCTAGAATTCCAGCTAGGTAACAGCAGCAGGAAGCCATGCAGGTCCCTGTCTTAACTTACTTATCTGTAAAATGGGAATGACAATGCTTACCTCAACTCCCTGTTAGGGGTATGGTAACATTTTTTTTACTTTTGAGTCAGAGATGGTCTTTTACTCTGAATTTGTAAAGTGTCTTGCACAATGGGGGCCCGTTCAGGGTTACTCTTTAGGCACTACTGCAACAAACACGATTCATAATAACTAGCCAATGTCTGTACAGTGAGTTGAACATATACTACGCTATATAACTGTTAGCTATCACTGCTATTATCATAGCCCTAGGGTATCTGCCTTCTCCCACGAGACAGTAAAAATGACTTAACAAATAAAACTAACCCTGTAGTTACTCTGATCAATGGAATTAATCTGTCTCTGGCTCATAAGGCCATGGGATGTGCCGCATTATTAGTCTCCTAGTTAATACCAAGGTATATTGCTTATGACACTAAAGGTGGACTAAAACTCCTGGTTACCTAATGTATTTTCAGATCAGTGGGGCATTTTAGATTATTGCTCATTTCCTTTGTAGGGATTTAAGGGGGGAACTTCACCCGGGTACCTCCACTAAAAACAATGGGATTCCACTCAGGATGGATGTGGTCCTACAGCTGCAGAAGTTGCTTTGGTCGGTGCTCACTTGATCTTTGCATGGGGAGCTCTATTCTTTGTGGGGTAGCATCAGTCTCTCTTCTTTGAGCAGGTTTGTCTCACAACACAACAGATTTTTCTTCCTTTTGTAGTGGCCTGAAAAATCAGCTCTGGGTCCTTAAGGAACAACCCACTTTACAGGGCATTCTCACTCCTTCTCAGGAGCGCACTATCTGCAGCCATTGAAAAGCATTTCAATGAGAGGAAAGAGGTCATTGTCTCTTACACAATACTTTGAAAAACTCAAAGCCTCTGGAGTCTGTCCACTTGACTGAGCACTTCGATGCTACTCTGTCATGCCTGGAGTTTGGCAGCCCCAGCAAGTACCTCGGGAAAGTTAGTAGTTCCTACTTTTTAAAAAAAAGAATATATAAAAGGATCTCTCATTTCCATGCACCAAGCATTTTGAGGGAGAGAGAAATAGGAATAATTCAGGCTTGTTCATTCTGAATTTTCTTTCCTTCTTTTCACCCCACACTGACACCGTTTCTAAGATGAGGAGTGAACTCAGGGTCAACTCAATGTGTGCACATTCAAGGCAGTTTATTGCTAACCATTTAGCCAACTCTATCCCCTGGACAATAAGCCCCTCTACTTCTCTTCCTCATTAGTATCTGGAACAACACCCAGTTCACTTCCAAACACAGAGCAACTTTGCAAAATTGTCAGGAAAATTTACCAGCCCTAGGAGCATGATCTATTCACCCACCCATTAACTGTTATGATTCAGGATAATGAAAAACTAATGACATTCACTCCCTGTCCAAAGAATGACTCACCCAGGCTATTGGATGAGTAAATTTTTGCATAGCTGTAACTAAGATTTTCACTTGCTGTAGAATATAAATTCTGTGTTCTGTGCTTATGCAGTGCCGAGCACAACAGTCACATTCTGTGGGTACAGTGCCTAGCTACTGCCATATATAACAAATAACAACCACACCTGTAGTAATAGTAGCAATAGAAGAGGATGACTGACTGTATCTAACACCTTAATTCATTCAGCATTCTAGAGATTCTCTTGTGGCAAACTCTGAAGTCTATTCCCAGATGCAAGCAACTTCTTACCCAATAAATTCAGACTTGGAAGATTTGCTAAAAGACCCCTGGCAAATCAGGACAAAATGAGCATTCAGGCACAAACAGATGTGCAGTAACATTCAAAGTGCAAGGCAAAGCACATGTTGGATACCTCTGGGCAGATCTACACGTTCATTAATGAGCAGTGGTAACTGCGCATTTAATTTAGTACTTGTATAAGCAAATACTAAATGAATGTGCAGTAACTGGAGTTACTGTGCAGTAGCGCTGGTGAACGCCTTTTAAGTGATGCTACTTTGCAGTATTATTAGGCTACTGCGCTGTTAGCATCTCATGTAGACATGCACTCTGTTGTTAATGGGGCCACCATGTGCAGCTTCTTGAACCAAACCACAATCATGGGAAGTAACATCATAAAATACACAGAGGAAGCTGGGACAGTATTCACAGAAAATAAGCTGACTCTGTTGATAAAGGTGGGCCACACTGGTTATTAGTCCTGTTATGTCCTAAAGAACTGTCCAAAATGGAATAGAAAGGTGTAATAGAATAGAATAGAATAGAAAGGTGAATCCACAATGCAGTATAGTACCTACTATGAAGAGAAAATGGGCACATCCAGGTTTGCAAAGACCTACGGAGATTCACTGGAGCAATAAGAACAGAAAGACCCATCATTCCTCCCGCAGAAGAGATAATCTGGCAATTTTACTGGTGGAATGGTTTTATACTTAGTAGATGCAACTCATGGATTGTGACTAGTTCCTGTCTCCTCTGGCAATGACCAGCTGACCAGTTTTGGAACGTCACTCAAAAAAGTATTGCTTTCAGTGTGTACAGTTAGCACAACAAGCAAACTAGAAGTCTTACAGAGGAAAATAAGCAAAACTCTGTAAGGCTCACGGGGATTTAATTTAATTTATAAGCAGTCAGGAAGAACATAACAGCAATCTGGCACCTTTGGCCAGCACTACAGTCACTTTCATTATAAAACAAAAGCCAAGGAGAGAATATTCAAACCCGCCATGACATGGCAGGACCCCAAAGGAGTGAACTCAGAAGTATTCCATCGATTTATGACTGGGACGCTGGCCTATCACAGCCCATAAATTTCCAGAAGGGAGGCAAGCTGTCAAGCCCCGGTTGGAGACTCACCATTTGAATACGCTCAGGAATCTATGTCATTGTTTTGTCCAACAATGCAGGCATCTGATGCCATTTTCTAGCTAATCAAGTGAAGGAATGACACAAGAGGGACAGGGAAGAACAGAAGAAGGGAGGAGCTCTCAAACCTGTTGACTAGACTGTGGGAAGGATGCAGCCTCAGAGCAGAAGGCTGTCCTCATATCTTCTGCATGCACAAGACTTCACAATTCCCAGGGTCATGTGATAGGAACTTCCTGCTGCCAAAAAGAGTGAGACCTGCCATGACCTCTCTCTTTCAAACAGAGTTCCTGCCTGCTTTGTGTTTGCAAAAGAGGCGCTTGTTTACTGATCCATCGTTGGCATGCAGGAAATGGCCTTGAAATGAGCTGTAATCATCCGTCCCCAGCAGTAGTTGTTTGGTTTTCTTCTAATTTAAGTTTTCCTCTTT